ACCACATCCAGCGTGCGCTCGGTGTAATTAAAACATGAAAAGTACTGCTGGTTTGGCCTTCTTTCTAAACAAATGTTAGGGCAAATATTCAAAACTAAGGAGAGCCAAGCCGAGGTTGCAAAAATCTTTGCTGTCAAAAATCTGTGTGTGAACTAAGATGACGGGGTTTTGGCAATTTTGTTGCACCCTTTCCGACCAAAAGAATTCAGACTTGCGTGCTTTTATCTCTGTCTGTATTCAGGCCCTCAGTGACATAAGTGATTGATGTGTGTTTCAGAGGTGCTTAAAACCTATGTGAATTTCCCCCTGATTCTCAAAGGCTGATGGTTTCTTTGCACATCTGTGGTGGTGGTTGTGTGCTCCAAACTAATGGTGTCAATATCTTGAAATATGGCTTCTACAGCTATCTCCTGCTGCCTTACTACTTACAATATACTCTGAACATTGTATCAGGCAAAGAATGAACATACAAATACACAAATGAATTGGCTGAATGTTTTGTTTTATATTATCTCTGAGAAAAGATGAAAAGAAAGCTGGTGAGTCACTGAGGAGAATACAAATCTTAGGAACTTAATGCATCTGGATATGGGCATGTCAGGATGGTGAAGAATATTTGCAAAAGCAGCTGCAGTTAAGTTTTCTGCCAGGCTGTCTTGACATGTAAACCATTTCGAGCTAAGTGAATCTGTGCTTCAAATGATAGATTTACCAAGGACCTTCTATTTGTTTCCATTGCCTTGTAGACATTTTGAAATTAATTTCAAGAATGTATGTCTTAAGAGCTAACTTGCTGTGGGGGTATGTATGTGTGTGCTTATATTTATGTACATATTTGAAAGTGTATATACGTAGAGAAAGAAAGAGATTCTAAAGAGGCGATGGAAATAGAGCATCTGCAGGGAGAATTACATTTCCTTGTGTGCCTCTTTTTTTGTCCCAATTTAAAATAGTCCTGAAAGAGAGAGGTTTTTTTCAAGGCATGTGAAGAAATTTTGACTGTTAGCAATTTTTATAGTTATATTTTTAAACCAGCTACTTTCTTGCTTAGATACTTATTTGTAAATGTAAGCAAAGAGAAGAGAAACTATTTTTCAGGCAAATTGCCTTGACCAGGTCTTGGATGACACTTCCACACCCACTGTGCAAAGCTCAGGATGTTCTGGCACATAACCAGAGATCTGGAAGGCTGTTAGGAAGTCTGCCTCTCCTGTTAAAAGCTACCAGGGATCCCCAGGACATTGATGAAATATCTGCATACCTTGTTCTTAAAATTAAATTCCTTAGCTTCCCTACATGACTTGTTCCAGTGTTTAACTGCCATCGTTGGACGGTGGAGAAAGGACAGTTCTACATTGTTTTTGTCTAAGCTAGGTCTGTCTTTCTTCAAGTTGATGTCTACTTATTATTCTCAATGAACATGAAGAATCCTTGAATATCAGCTATTTTCTGATCTTTTACGTTTGATTCGCAGAGGTGGTCAGCTCTGATACAGGCTTGTTTTGCAGCAGAGTGGGGGATCGTGGCGTACAGGGGGGCTTCCAAGGCCAGGTTGGATGGGGCTTTGTGCAGTCTGGTCTAGTGGAAGGTGTCCCTGCCCATCTTGTAACTAGATGATCTTTAAGGTCCCTTACAACCCAAACCCTTCTGTGATTCTGTGATTCACATCTCTATCTTCATTCTCCTCATTTCCTGACTAAATAAGATTTGTGTGTGTGTGTGTGTGAGACATAGCTTGTCACAAAAGCTACGCTTTTAAAACAATCTGACAGTTTTCTTGTTTTCCAGACTCTCCAATTTGCTGTATTTTTCTTGAAGTGCAGTGGTAAAACTGGATTCAGTGTCCAACAGCAAGGAATAACAGAAACAAATTTCATTTCTTATGCTAACGTGTCCCAGAATTATATTTCTTTTCCATTTGAAATAGTGGTGTTATTGTCCAAGTTTTAATCTTACAGATTCTTCTGAGAGATGCTTAATATGGTAGTGATACTTTCCATTTGGATTGCTGTCGTGCTTTAAATGTTTTTCCTGAGTTTCATCATGATTAGACCACTTCGATACTAATTATGAAGATTACTGTAAATAACAGTTGTCACCTGCAAAGGAGTTGCAAGCTCAGCAAATTCAGTGTCATCAGCTAATTGGAGAAATGTGGGTTTTTTTATTTCACTATTCCAGTTGTTAAGGTTGAAATACTAAGTACTGAACTTAGTATATGTAGACTTTTGAAAGACCTCATTGGTCTCTATTCTTCCAGTTTGACAGAAAAAAAAAAAAAATCACTACTGCTCTCTGAATAGCTTTTTCAGGCAGTTGAAATTTCAGCCAGAGACTGTTTCCCTGATTTACTAGGGAACTTACTGCAGCTCCTGAAGGCTGTCTCAGAAGCCATGAACTGAAGTGTGTCAAAGCTAGCTCTTTTTGCCTATCTGTACGCCCTTCAACCTGATGGAGAGAGAAATCAGTGAGGTTTGATATGATTCGATTTTCATTTCCTTATGATCCTACATTGGTTTGAAATGGACTGTAATATTGGTTTCTTACCTTTAGTATGGCCGTTGAACTTACTGACTTGTAATTCTCTTGGTGCTCCTTCCCCTTTTAAAAGTGAGTGTGTTTGCTTAGGGTTCATTGTTTTCAGAGATAACTGGTAATGCTTCAGAAAATGCTTTCACTTGTCACTTGAAATCCACTCCAGAGCACTTAGCCCATCCCCCTTTTTTCACGCACTGCTGTGACTTTCTTGGGTAAACTGTACATTTTACCTTTACAGCCTACTGAGTCCCAGGCATCAGTGGGTCTTTTTTTGCTAAGGCTTTTTTTATCATTTGAGTATGAAATTTGTAAGAATGTGAAATGAAAACTTTATTTCTTAATGTATCACTTGCAATTTTCAAGGTAGGATAAATGTCTCCATTAAAAGCTGCTACAGGGCTTCAAGGTGAAGCCAAATTTGAAATTTGCTGCCTTGTAGTTGGATTTTTTTTTTTTTTTTTTTTTTTTTTTGGTGTGTGTGTCCTTATCCAGAAAGTGACAAAATTTGGTTCCATGGCAATGCTGGGCTGGTGGGGGGGGGTGAAAGGCTGGAACGTGAAGGGAAAGACTGTGAGGAGAGACAGATGCCACTTTTACACTAGGTTTCCAGCAGCTGGTCCAGCCTTCCTGAGGGACATTGCCTTCTGATCTCCTCTTCTCACCTTCTCCTATCCATTTTCCTTCCACATCTTCCTTTATATTTACTGTCTCCAAATTTATTGAGTTATTGAAGCATCTGTTTCTTTAGGAGACCTTACCCCTTCCTCTTAGCGTTCTCTTGTCTCCCTGTAGATGGGATAGTTTTCCTGACTTCTTCCCCAAAACATAGCAGAGGACTGGTATTTGTGACTGAGAACATCCCCAACCAAATGCTGAGGGAGTTATTCTGCTTGGTGACTGAGATGATCTCCAGCTAATGGCTGAATATTTCTAGGGTGAGGGATGTTGTTCTCTGGCTCTTTTGTGACATCAGGCAAATGTCTGCTCTTCTGCTGTGATTCAATGTGAAAATGCAGTGCTTTTTACAAGCACGTCACCGTTTTCCCATTTTCAATTTACTTTCAGTAACAGAATATGAAAAGTTTTAGGAATTTAGACAGAAATGTTTCCAATTATTGTCTTCTCCATCTATTAACTTAATTACTGCTTTTGACAGCGTATGTGTATTGTTTAACGAATGCTAAAAATTACCATTGAAAACACTTGCTGAAGAATGAATTTCTTCTAACCATGTTATAGTAACATAGTACCAAGCAATGTAAAAAAAATAAAATAATTGTTATCTCCATATGATTCTTGTTTAACATCTTGGTGCTGGTAATTAAATTATTAAATTGTGTATTGGGAAGAAGTTTGCCCCTTACATGCTAGTCTGATTTTTCCCATCCCTGTCATCTGTGAGTTTGTCAATTTATCTGATTCAATTCCATATTTTGCGTAAGTGATTCCCATGTAATGGGCTGAGCCCTGGTTAGTCGATGAAGTTAAAAAAAACCCCAAACTAATATTGAATCAGTGTTGTTTTAAATATGTGACTTCACTGGAGAAATGGGATGTTCTACAAGTTTAAGGTACCAATAGCAACGTTGATTTCTTCACAACTGTGTAAGTACACAGAAGACACTATTGCTGGGCATTTCCAGCAGTAGAGCCATCATAGCATTACTGAAAAGTGTTCAACATCAGCACAGACTGGAAAAAAAAAATCCTATGCCATTCCAGAAAATGGGAGTGAGACATCCTGTAAGTGCAATCATAACTTGTAGACTGGTATGAGGAATAGCTTAGCCCTGTGAATGCAAACTGCTAAATGGTTCCTATTCCAGTATGAAACCCTGCTGCTGAAAATTACCTTGTGGGGATGATTTTTCTTTTTGGCAGCGTAACCTAGACTCTGTGAATGGCTCTTCTTTCAGAAATAACATTTACATGTTGCTTTCCGGGTATATGTTCACAGAGATATGAAGAATAAACATGAAGCTATGCATTGTGTATTGAAAAGCTGTAACAAGGAATTAGTTAATAAATAACACAGGATATTAATAATTAACTGCTTTGTCTTACATCTTTCTGATCTTTGTCCATCTGGTACTTTGTAGGAACCTAGTTTATCTTCCATCCCCACTTATCGAGTCATGCTTTCTCTTTCATGTTTCCTCTCACTTTGCTTTATTGCCAGTGCTCATCAGTTTTCTCTTTGAATATATGGTGTCTACAGCCACTGCTACACAGTCCTGAGCCCTGTTTTAACTAATGCACAAATAAAACGTAGTTTCAACTTTGTCCTTAAACTAGCCATTTAATCAGTGCTGTGAGAAGGGACAGCATAGTAAGAAAGATGCTAGACCTCTAATTTCCAAGACACAAGGTCATTTTCTTCACTAATAGCAGTGATTCCAGATAAATTCCTCAATACCAATAATTTCAGGAAAGCTCATGAATTTTCCTGTGCTCTTTTGCAGGGGATTTCCCAAGAAAACAGGCAGAACTGCTAGGATAGCATCAGATGAAGAGATTCAAGGGTCAAAAGATGCTGTAATTCAGGATCTGGAAAGAAAACTTCGCTTCAAGGAAGACCTTTTGAACAACGGGCAACCGGTATAAAAACATAAAATACCCTGAGGAACAGGAGTGGGCATCATGGGTAGTTTCTCAGATATGCTGCATATAAAATAATTGTTGTATATTATTTTTATGTTTTTTGAATTTCTTATTTTTAATGGCATTTCCAAATCTGCATCCATGATAGTATATATTTTGGCCTTCCTTCTCCTGTTGGGCAACTTTACTTGGACTTACCTTTGATACCTCCATTGCTTTGTTGATGAATTCGCAAAAGAAGACTGCACAGACTGTACCTCAGGGTCTTTTCAGCCTCAGAGGCCATTTGTTTTTGACTGTTCATCACTGGGTGGCTGGCCAGTAGGCATATGCATAGGTCTTGATCAGTCCAGGCTCATTCTACCTTTTGCCTAGCTGTTGGACAAAAAAAGAGTAGGTGGTAAGTGGACATCAGAGGTGGCCAAGGCAGTTCATTATGAGAAACAATCCATTAGGAATCAGGCATCATTGTATCCTCCAGTTGTGGGACGTTTTTGACCAATAGAATAAATATATTAATTGATAAATATAAATAAATAAAAAAATAACCTGTAGTACTAACTTACAGACTTTATCAGGAGTTAATGACCCGTTTGAGGAGTTAAGAAATGAGGAAAAATGGGCAAGTATATGAAAAAATTGAAATGCACAGCTGCAAAGTTCTCCATAATTTTATTTTGCATTTTAAGTTTCGCATAAAAGATAAAATACCAAGTTATTCCTGCTCAGAGTTGATAAGAAGCAACTCCCCAAAACTTGATTGCAGTTATTAAGGCATTGATTTAAATGTCTTTGAAGCAGGAATCTCTTTTAAGAGGAAAGTATTAAAAATGCAGACTGTCACCCCTGTTTTGCCAATGAAATGTTCTCAAAAGCATCTGAGTGCCTTGGGGTACCTGTGTTGCTGAAAGGTGGTGTGCTTTAGGTTTCTCAGGACCATGCTCAGAAGTTTGCGAAGTTTGCTACAATGTCTAAGCTTTGGACTACGGTGCTGTAGTTCAAGGTAGCCTGTTGAGTCAGACTACCCTGTCCACAGCTGCTGGATTCTGGTTCTTAATAAGGTCAATGGAGTGAAGTAGGGAAAATGTTCAGAGTTACTAGTGCTTCTGTACTTACCTTGCTCCATTAACTGCGTAGGGTTTGGCACTTCTGTAGCAGTTAAGCAGAATCACTCTCATAGTGTATAAGTTCCTGTTTTTTCAAAGGAGGTGGGCTGAGCATGATTGTCGATGCCTATTTTGGAAAGTGAGAGAGATGTTTGGCCTGGACAAATGAATGGAATGTCCTGAGAAAGCCCACATGGCCCGGGGGAAAAAAAAAATAATGAACCTGTGATCAGATGATGTGGGAGCCCGAACCAAGTAAACTCTGGTTTTGTGCTTGCCTTGAGGCTTTTGCCTTGCAGATTCCTGTCTTGAGTGATTCTGCTTGTGTAATCATGGCTGTGGGCACTTGGAGTGATCACAGAAGAAATTAAAGTAAAGAAAAGTTCATGACTTGCTTAGACATTTGTAACCAAGCCAAGATCGGTACCTAGTTTTCATGACTCTCACCCTGCTGGTTTGGCTACAATATGACATCTTTTAAAAATTAATTTAGATGAGTTTTAAAAATGGAAGCATTAAGTAGATGTAACGTTCTACAATTTCCATTCTTTTTTAATTTTTCCGTTTAAATGAGGCATTTCAGCATGTAATGAGTTTGCCTTTCATTTACTGGCATTTTTTTTGCAATGTGATTTGCAAGAAAGTGTCTACGTGCCTGAAATGTGTTACTGAATATAGAAGGAAAAATAATAATGAAATAAGTGAATTGTACACTTCAAGTTTTCTTTTAACTTGCTTTACCTTCTGAGTGTAGATTGTCTATTATAAGCTGTCTCCTTAATTTCTGGAAGAGTAAGAAGCAGTAGAAATAAAAAACCTTAAAGAATATATTTTTCTACAAAGCTGTCATATTTTGACAAAATAATCAAGTAGCGTGGTGTCTTCTTAGCATTTTTGGCAGAGTTTTCTGCCATGTGGTTCTAATGTAAAAAAATTGAGCAGAACAGCTAGGAGTAAGATTTAGGATGATTTGACATGCACTTTTTTGATGGCCATGCTGATTTAAGCAGTTCCTATTGCTCATTCCTGCCCAAGTTCCTGGCAAGAGCATGGAAACAAATGGCAGAGTCTGGGCAAGGGTTGCTTAAGCCAGAAGAGCCACTTGTAATACAAAAAAAATGCATTACAAACTGTGGTAGACAACTTCTGTTAGAAACATATTGCTGCTCTCTTTTATTAACATTACTTAAAGCATTGCTTACTGCCTAACTGCCTTCTAGTTATTAATGAGAAATAAGAACTTTTCTCTCTTCTTTTACCTCCTTCTCATCCCCCTTTGATTTTTCATTTAGAGATTAACGTATGAGGAGAAAATGGCTCGTCGATTGCTGGGAGCAGACAGTGCCGCAACTGTCTTCAATATACAGGAACCAGAAGAGGAGCCTGCTATACAGGTGCCACATAATATACAATTTCATAGGAAAATAAAAACTTTCTTTCCATTTTTCTTTTACACAGGCTGTGACTCTCTTAAAGTCCTACATAAGACAATAAATATACACAAGATAGGCCGGTTTTGATTACAGAAGTCATATGTTATATGTCAGTGAAGTAAACTGGAGGATGACATGCCTGTTGCTCAGTTTTTCCATGCTGAATAAGGTTGAGACTTCTCAAATGTCTGCTCTCTGCTTTAAACTCTTCCGTTTATCCTATTCTGTCCTGACCTTTTAGTTTCTCAAGGAAAAAAATACATCTACTATCTTGAAACCATCTTCTCTTTATGGGTGTAATCTGCACTTTTTGGATGCAGACCAAAAACACAACAGAATGTCTGCTTGAAAGGCCAGGTACACGTTCTCCACTGTTCAGATGACAGAGTTGCTATTCGGAAATGTGTAGCATTTGTTTGCTTATGTTATCACATAAAGTATGTTCTCCTGATAAAAACTCTTGAGAAACTGTCATGCGTGCCTCTTGGTCTTCTTTCTGCCTCTTGATCTTTTTTTCTACCCTTGCAGGAAGCTCGCTCTGTTGGTGCTTCTGTAGTGAGTCCTGTGGATATTCAAAAGGTTAACTTTTTCACCTTTTTCTGTCTTGCTTTTTTGTCCATTGATTTTTTTTCCTCTGTCATCTTTGCCCTTTCCCTTCTACTGTTCTTGGTTAATAAAAAGAGGTCACCTAGCATCAATAACTGGGGAGATTTGGGCTGCATTGCCTTCAAGGCATTACTGTTGTTCTATAAGCCTAATGTCTGAGTGCAGGCAGCTTAACCGTGCTAATGGTGTGCTCCAGTGTGGTTCTGCCGTAATGTTAACATAACACTGATATTAACTGCCTTGCATCCAAATCAGCTGCTCTTTATATATACCATATGTACTTCATGATTTACTTTTATGATGAACTTTCAGGGAACAAAGAAATTTTAAAAATGTCCACAGTTTACAGAGGTATTTCTCTCTTCTTCCATTTTTTACTGTTATTGAGGGTTACGGTTAGTTCTGTAACCAGTCAGTAGAAAGGCTACATGTATTCCCAGACCAGAGTCAATGGTAGGCGATGGGCATGTGAAAGGAGGCTTCATACAACACGTGTTCTGTCTTAAATAAGGGTCAGAGACAATGGCCAAAGGTCATTTGAAAGAGTGCCTGAATTTCTGCTGACTGAGAAGAGCATTGGCTAATAAATATATTATTTTTTCTGTTTCTGAGCTTTCTTACATTCTGGCATTATCCTTGCTATCACTAAGATTCAAAGCAGGAGTTTTGTGCTGCGAAGTAGGTGGAGTGAACAGGTCAAGAAAGTACATAACTCTCTCTGTCACAGTAACATTTCCCAGTATCTGAATAGCAAATTTAAACAAGCAGTAGTGTTTTACCCTGGATGAAACTTTCCACTCTATTTTGTGTATCTTGAATACTCTCATGACCAATTTTGTTTTTAAGGAAAAAGTGATACTTTTGGCCAGACAAAGGACACCATGGCAACACAAGTAAAGGGAGGCAACTGTTACGGGCACCCAGTGTTGCCATTTTCTCGGGGTTTTTTCTTATTTTTGCAGGCAACTGTAAACAAAATCATTTTAGCCTTTTGGTGCAGCCTCTGTTACAGTTCTATGCAAATGGCAGATGTGAACCATATGGTCTTCTGGCCATCTGGAAACAAAACCCACCCTAAATCTGCCTGTACCCTCAAGGAAACATTAGTGTGTTTCTTTTGTCTTTATGAAGTGCTTCAGAATACTTTTATTCTTATAGGCTTTTTTAAAAAATGGAAAGAAAGCAACCAATGACTTTCCTTCCCCTTATAAATTAGACCTTAAGATAACATGAAATACAATTTTTGCCTCATACCAGATGTCTTCATTGTTTCATAAGGAAGTTATTGGAGGCACAGATTATAGTGTTTTTCTTCAACAAGATACAGTTTCCTTTTATATGTAAACCTTAATGGATTGTCAAAGATCACTAGAATGAAAAAACCATTAGGAACACATCTTGCTGAGCAATGTGTTGAAGCTGGACACTAATATGTACCTTTCTTATTTGACAGGAGTATAAAGTCTCCAGCTTTGAGCAAAGACTGATCAGTGAAATTGAATACAGGCTGGAGAGATCTCCTGTGGAAGAATCAGATGACGAGGTGCAACATGGAGATGAACCTATTGATAACAGTATGTCACCATATTTTGAGATAAAGCTGAAGCATTACAAAATCTTTGAGGGAATGCCAGTCACATTTACATGCAAAGTGGCAGGAAATCCAAAGCCAAAGGTAAGAAGAAAGGGTAAATGTTTCTCAAAATGCTCTGAAGAGTTCTGTATTGGTACCTTACATTCTGTCCTTGGACCCTATGGGTTGTATCTTACAGGAACAGCAGACATTCTCTCTTGACAAGAAAGACTCCTGGCTGGTATAAACTGTCAAATCTCTTTTGACATCACTGGAATTATGTAGATTTATACTGGGCAAAAATTCTACTGTGAGGTTTGGATTTTAGTTACTCCCTCCTGAGAATTCATCTCAATTATTTAACCTAGAAATAGTACTTCTGTTATTTTCAGAGTTACCTTCGGGGTACACCTGTACCACAATGCAGTGCAATGCTAGAAAACCCCATGTGAGCTGGCACAGTAGTCCCAAAAGCAACCTCATCAGGTTAACATGGGTAATTAGCTCAGGCACAGCAACATTCTACTGCAAAAATATGCTGGTTCTGGTTCAGGAGCCAGCGTGGTATCTCTGCATTCTTCAGCATTGCAGAGTTGTTTATATCTACACACCCTAACAAGACTAAATTTTATTGAAAGTTAGAGGAAGGCATAATAAAATACCATAAGCTCCCATATATCCCAGCAGCAAGATGAGACATGACGGTGAAGTTTCAATGATGAGCTTCTGAGGGAGGGTTGGGCTTGGGAAGCATTTCCTTTTAGCAAATGTAAAAGTACCAGTTGCGTGATGTCAGCAGTCTGGAAGAATGCCTGCCTTTGGTAGGTTGTGTTTAACCATTTCAAAAATTGCTTGGTACTCGAGTGACTCATTATACAGCAGGCAAACAGCAGCAGCTTCTTCAGCTTCCTTGCCAAAGCCAGCATCTTCCCCGTGAGGTCCTTGTGGCTCTTACAGTGACCTCTTGTGGACAGGGGCTTTTTTCTTCCTAGACAAGATCCAAGATGCCTTGTCTCTTAGATAAGATCTTCACAGCAGCAGCCACATCCAAATCTCTCATTTAGTGTAAGTTTTACAGGTATTTATGATTTTTAACAGAGTTAAATGCAAATGACTTTACATGTCCAATGATATAGGTGTATGATACTGCACAAACTTGTAAAAAGAAAAATTGACTTTGTCAGGCAGCAGAGAAAGAACAGAGAACCAGGGCTTCATCTACACTAACAAGTAGTGCAGACCAGAGGAAGCAAATCTGTAGAATGAGATATCCATCCCTGCATGCATTTCAGGAGGTTTTACTTCAGGCTAGCCCTAATCTCATCCCACAGACTGAAGCAGATGCAGCACATTAGATGTGTTCTTGGAGCACATTTTCTGGCTTAGTTTCATCTGAAAGGAATCCAGTTGTGTGCTCCAAGACCACAACGTGATGTGAACCACTGCAAAGTAAGTGGGGCTGATCAGTATACTCATATCAGAAAAGCACTCCTGCTTCAAACTGAAGACATACACTGAGAAGATTAGCCCAGTCTGACTGAAAGCAAACCTTTGATGTCAGCATTACTTTTGAGATGAGTGTACAGAAGAGTCTGTTGTGCTGAATAAGGGTGGAAGACAAAAGGGTTCTCTGGTGTTGGAGGTGCAGTGTGCTGGAAAGGTGCTCTTTTTGCCTGAGGCTTATGACTAAGTTGCTGGATGACCTATTATGAGTCAGCCTTAGTCAACTTAGCCATTCCCTAATTTTCACAGTTTTCAATTAAGGTGCAGTTTCACAGTCATCTTAATCTGATTTAAGACAGATGAAAGAGGATGCCTCCTTTCCCTCACTCTCCTTGTTTTGGTGCTAGGGATTGCACAGCCAAGAAACCACATTGTTAGTACTTCCCCTAAAGCATGGCATTATAAAGGAGTATCTGATGTGAATGCACTCCAATCCAGATACAATGTTCTGTTTTTCTGCACCGTCAAAGCATGCACACTAAGAAGTGATTTGCTCCTGCACCTGGGACTATGACCCTTTATTCCATTCACTTGCAGATGCTTTGTGCAATTCGTTAGGTCGCTTGGGATGGAACCAATTTCAGTCCTGTTGGACGGCTACTTGCTAGCTGGGCTTTGCAAATGTCAAAGACTGTATCTCCCCCTCATCTGCTGAAGCATGTCAAGATGGCAATTTTGAAATGCTCAATGGCTGAGGGCTGCCCTTCTGCTGTCATTTGTTGAAGCTGGAAGTGTTGCCCCTGAATACATTCTTTACTTTGGCAAAAGAAAAGCTGGAAATAATTTACTAACTTGAAGCTCCTCCCTTCTAAGTATTCTGTTAGCTCTGCCAAGGAATGGCTTTGGGAAGGACTGTAGTGTTTCTCAAATCTGGCATTCATTACAAGGGATTTTTTTCCCTGAACGTGCCATGTAAATTGAATACTGATGTGCAAATTCTGTCTTCATAAATATGACTTTTAAAATCTGAGCCTACTTTTGTTATAACCTTCAGCGTAATGTTAAACTATTTTCTTATTGAAGTGAGAACCTGTGGTGATACAGGAGGGATTGTGGAATACTTCTTTTTAAGGGATATTTCTCTTCAGAATTAGAGCAATGCCATACAAAAGGTTAATCGAGACATGAATGTTGCATAAAGCTCATACTGCTCGCTCTTCACGTGGCTGAATATAATTCTTAGTGATTAAAAATGCCTGTGTTGCCCAAGATCAAAACCCCTTTTGTACTGTGTATTCCATTGTATTTCTCGTCATTACGCATTGGTTTCTGAAAATCTGGTGTAAATAAAAGCAGTCCAGATGCAGTTTTCAGTGCTTATGTAGTTTAATGGTATCCTAGAAAGAAAATACTTCACTGCAAGGGCCACTGTCTCCAGCAGTGGTGGTGTTTTACTTATTAACTCCATGTCAGATAAAGGTAATATTAAGAATTTTCTACTCATAAGTAAAACCCAGTGATGCCAATGCTTTTAAACTTAGTGGAAATAAGTATTGGACAACATATGAATGATGTTTGGATAGCTGGTTCAGATAATATTTGCATGTATTTCCATGTAATAATTCCTGCCATGTCTCCTGATATTTCTGATAAGTGCATTGTTATTAAATAATTACTACTTAATGCAGTAGATTTCCAAGCAGCGTTATGACACATGTAAAGCATGCAAGTTAAAACTCATTTTTTGCAGCTACGTTGTTACCAGCATCCATTAGCATGTGTATATAAGTGATCAAATATCTTTTGCATCTCCAGTAAGTGCTCTGTCAGCAGATGAGAAGACATGACTAAATCTTTTGTTAGCACCACAGAGTCTCTGCAAGGCTGCTGACAGACAAAATGGAAAACAAGTTTAACCAGCTATTGAGGAAATTAAATCATTTCTAGTTACACATAATGCACATAAAAACCATATATGGTAATTAATTTTTAAGGGAAATTTCCACTTATTCCCTCCCAAACATTCTCCATTGTCTTTTGCTTAAATTTAAAAGTATATCCTTAACTTTTCACCCAAGTGAATGAATTTAAAGCTTTTAAATGTTGGCACCTGTGAAGAACCAGGCGCATTAAACTCTGTCAGGAACTGTGCTTTGCTTTGTCACTTCATTTTTACTGGAAAGCCGGCACCCTTTCCTCACTTTAAGACCTGAATTCCCACTTCAGGACTTAGACTGAGGAAAATGGGTGTGTTTTCCTCCTGCTAAGTAGTCCCAGCAGCCATGCAACCAGGACAAATACATTTGTTTTACTTTGTATGGGTTAACCTCATAAAAATTGTGTTAGGTATCTGCACAAGTGACTTAAGAAATGCTGAACACCAGTGATCTTACGGAGTAATACACACTTCAGAAACGACAAGTAAATAATGGTCTACTCAAATGTTAGTTTGGGGAGCTGACTACAGTCTTTCTAGTATAATTTTTTTCACATATTCCTCTGTGTGTTTTCATGCATACACCACATAAAAATGGTATCTTTTCATTCCAGCAGATTTCAGCTTGTGGCTTTTTTTTTTTTTTTAATATAGCACCACCCCCCCCCGCTAGGTCAAAATATTTAAATCTTTTTTTTTTTTTTTGCCTCAAGTTTGAGGCATTAAAAACACATAGATGTTTTTTGTGTAATTTATGGATTACTAAAAGATATTACTCTGCATACATCATTTTTTTTGGCTCACTGACAGTAGATCTTGGGTCAGCCAGAGAATAGGATTATGTATCAAAAGTAATGGAAAAGACCTCTGTTTGATAGATAACGTAACTGTTCTGTACAGCCTGGAGCTATGCTGCTGGTGGTGTACAGTTATTAAAGGCTCTCTGTGTGCTGACTTGCTTTGAAGTGTTTCCTATTCCTTTGTAAGGCTGTCCATTTCTGTAGTTGTCTGTCGTGCTGGGGTGACGCTGTTGGTTTCAGTCACACGATTACCCAGAGCTGGCCCGTTCTCTTACTGAACTGCTCGTTGCCAGCAGGAGCAGCTGAATCCCCTTCTGGCTTTCTGCTCCAGTCCAGTCAGCATAATGGATATGAAACAAAACTGGTGTTTCAACAGCGAGATCATTACTTCTATTTTATTCATCATTGAATTAATTATTCCTATAAATACCTTGGTTTATGTTTTTATTTTCTGAAAAGAGAGCACTAAGTTCTTCAGATTTAAGTGAAATAAAAATTTAAAATGAGTAATCTTCTCTGAAATAGAATTTTTCTTTGTAGTGACATCTGTTTTCAGTTCTTGAAATACTCAAGCCTGCTGTTCTGTCCTTGGGATGGGTACAGTCCTTACATACCTGCAAGTTTCTTTGGTAAAAGTTCGTGCTGCTGTCCTTCTCTCTGAACCATTGCTAATCTGTAATTTGCCTTTTAGTGAAAGCGGTTCATGGAGTGTGGTTCTGCACTTTTACTGGTTGATCAGACCAGGTTTTTTTTTCATGCTTACCAGAGAGGTTTTCATCAGTTAAGATTTGTTAGCGCTATTAATTGAGAAATGATGACAATGAGCACCCACCTCCTATCAGCCGTGCCTTGTTTTTTCCTGCAGATTTATTGGTTTAAAGATGGGAAGCAAATTTCTAAACGAAGTGATCACTACCGAATTCAAAGAGAACCTGATGGAACTTGCTCGCTGCATACTGCAGCCTCCACCCTGGATGATGATGGGAATTACACTATTATGGCTGCTAACCCACAGGTAAATGAACGTTTGGCTCCAGAGCAAACATGCTTCTGGACATAAATCTTCAGAAAACTATCTCATCTTACGTATGTGTGATTTAATTAAATGATGAAGTCACCATAAAGTATGTAAGTTAGATTTCTGTTTTCATCTTGCATCAGTAGGGTGGGACCTTTCTATCTCCAAGAGCTTAGCAGCTCAACAGCAGGTTTTTTTCCTATGGTTTGAGGTTTCAGAGGTGGTGTTTTTTAATCACTCTTGCACCATTTGTTTCAGCTGATAATATCTCAGTATCCAAACTGAGCACGGATAGCATACATAGTATAAAGGGAGAAAACAATCCAGTGTACCAGCAGAAGTAACCCAATCCAGCAATTTAATTTTTCTTCTGTTGACACTGTTCACTGACTGAGGCCAACTTTTTTAAATGAGTGGGAGTATATCACACCTCAACATGTTTACATTAGGCAGTGATTGCAATTCTGTAAAGGGAAAAATTCCAGCCCTTATGATGTGGGGGGGAGGACTCCTGTGTTGATACCTAAGTCTTAAACAATATTTTTCTTAAACACAGAGTTACTGTTTTTGTGGTATCGTTTGTTTTTTGAAGACCTAATACAGGAGCTGAGGTACACAAGAGAAGCCCACTGGTGCGTTGGACACAGCTAAATGTACAGTTCACGCATCCTATTGCAGTTACTTTTTGTATCCACTTTTCCTGCAGCACAGCAAATTAAGGGGAAAGATTTGCACGTGAGAAACCAAGGCAGTAACATAACTTTGGGATGTAATGAATTATTTTCTTATGCAGCACCAAATAGCTTGCCAAGACCAGGCCTGCAAGTAGAATCGCACTGTAAAATAACAAACTGTATCACTGAGACAGAGTTTAATCTAAACAGGAGTGTTGTGCTCTGTTATGAATGTTGCTAGGTTACTTAGCATGACACTGCCATTTTTGCCTTGCTCTTTAACCCTCAGTCCTCCTCGTATCACAGTGTGCTTGTGAATGTATGGGCTGGTACACCCAGATGACACACAAATAGCAGTTTTAGGCTGGATTCTGGAAACTGCAGCACTTAGTTCTAGGTAGTTTAAATATTATTTCTACATATACAAATAACAGTAATAATAATGAAATGGCGTAAAGCCAAGGGAGTTCTTCAAGCTGGGAGCTTTTACACATAGATGACCATTGTGTTATAAGACTTGGTACCATTTAAATTGTGGAAAATCACAGCAGGTTTAAAAAGGATAAATAAATACATACACGCTCAAGGTAAGAAGCGAATCCTGTTCATCTTCCTGTAAGTGTTTTGTTAGTGCATGTACAGAATTTGTCTGGGTACTGTTACTGCATGAGCCGAAGCCTTTACCGAACTTGTGAATAAACTGCCTTTGTGTTTGGATGCTGTACACCGTCCCTGACTCTTCAGCGCCTACTTTTTAGCATTTATTATTCCGGGTAATGCTCATTTAGTGACACAACAGTGACCTAGGTTATCAGTTCTGGTCATTGATGACACTAGTTTGTTAGTGGGGTTTTAGATGTGCTAAAATGAGCTGGGTTTATATTGTTCCTAGTTTGGGGCCTGAAAAAGCAGTTTTGTTAAATTATAAAATTCTGCGTCTGTGCTTTTTTCCCCCTCTTTGGAGAAGAGCCAGAAGCATCCTCCTCTGGCTCCCCTAAACAAAACATCTGTGTGTTTCACCAAGCCCATTCTTATTCTTTGTGTAGAGTGCAATTCCCAAGCAAACATACTTATCTCTTCCACTATTTGCTTGCTTTTACTATGCATTTAACAGCACAATGGAGGCAAAGAAGGGCTATGAGTTAATGTACTAGCCTTTCACACTCAAAGATCTGGATTCCAATTCTTTTAAGTCATTGTGAGTGGAAATAATTTTGGCATAGCCTCCTCAATTCTAATGGAAAGTTGTTCACATCTCAAAGCTATCACAAACTTAGGCAAATTTGGCAACCTTTCCTTAAGAAAAGCGAAATACGTAAATGTAAGGGAGCCTCCACCAGGATTCTGATGGACTGGAAGATATCTGCTGGGCTGTTGCTGTGTTTTGGTCATTGCTGTTGGAACCACCAAACTACAAAGCAAAAAGGCATATTCTTAGCTGATAGGAACTGATTCTATTAAAGCAAGGGGTTCAGTTCATTAAAGCTCTGCCCGTTGATACCATCTCACAATCTGGACTAATATGACAGGATTGATGTAAGTGTAATGACTTGCTGACACACCTTGGAAATCGTCTGTGGTCGTTAATCGGGCAGGCACCACGGCCTGCGGTGTAAAGTGCAGCGATCTGGAATTCAGGTCCTAACACACCACTGGGGTTTGCAGTAGAATTTGCCATATGACTTAATCCAGAGCAAGCTGACCCGGGGCCTAGACAAACACAAAACCTCGTCTGTTGTAGGCCTTTAGTTACAGGTTATGTCCCCTAACCAAACTCTTGCCATGAGCTGTAACGGGCTCAACTGAGTGCCTGTTTTCACCTTTTTTCCTTTTATCCCACTCTCTCCGTGTCTTTGCACTGTGCACCCACAGTCCTCAGTCTGGATTCCCCTTATTTTCTAGGCTATCTTCTCACAAATCACTTCCCACTCTTCACTTCCTTCATGTTCATCCAATGACTTTCCCAAATCTTTGGCTTCCTGCTTGTTCTTCCCTGTCCAAATTCCTTACTGTCCTTTGTTTCCACTTGCGATACCTTCATGTGTTGAGGTCTGCAGAAATTACCCCAAAATGTGTGAATTCATCACCTGCCAGAAAAAGATTAATATGCAGTGGTGCCTAAAATAGAAATGTATTTGTTCCAGATGTCTTTAATGGTCTTGTAACAAAAAAAACCCCTTTTGCTTAAGAAACTGCTGCAGGTCATGCACAATGGCTTCTTTTAATGCAAATATTTTTCTTGTGGACTAAAAGGGTCATGGGAATAGAAGCAGGACACAGAGGCTTCATTTCTAACAGCCCAGCAGTACCACAAAGGTCACTGCCATTTGAGGGCTGCTTGTGACCCCAGTGAAATTGTTTTTCGATGGGCTTTGGCCAGTTGTTAATGAACAGCTATTTGCAACCCCCAAATTACTGTGACAAAAATATTTGTCACTTTTATGATGACAGACTTGAGTGTGGAGCTCCCAGCTTAGAACTGAAATACTGCAAAGCTGATGTGGATGTTGCCTTAGTCCGGGGGTCAAGGAGACAGATGTACATCTTCCATACATTTATCAAAGAGCTACTTAAAACTCTTGTTTCTCAAACGTTATTAAAATTATTACATTGTTACATAAAAGTATATACACTTTTACTACAGCATTATTTTTTATACATAGCTTTTATAGTTGTATCTGTTGGGTATATTTATTAATACCAGCAGATTAATGCTTTTACCCCTTACATGGTGAATTCTACAGCGCCCTGGCTGGCAGCAGTTCTGTCCCAAATTTGTTACCACTAGAGCTTGTGGTGGACAATTTGTCTTCTAAAAACAAAGACAAAAAAGAGAGTAAATACCAACAGAGCCCAGGTTTTATTTATCATTCACTGAAAATAATCTAAGACAAGTGAACTATCTCCAGTGTCCACCAGCACAGCTGTGTGCTTCAGTGTGGTTCCTGCCCCCAAACCGGGCTCGCCCTTCAGAGAGGACCCTTTCAGTACTTGTACAGTTCTTTTGGTTTTTTACATTCGTGAGAACTTTGAGCTGTGGCCTCACCAGATGGAGTGGATCAATCCACTTTGGAGGTAGCAGCTCTGTCGTTAACCGCCAATGCTTATCAAGTGCCATTTTCCAGATCTAGTTGTCTTCTGTCCACTTGCCATACACAGCGAGACCTCCCACCCACATCAATACCTTAGTCAAGATACTCTTTTAAGGGCTTAATTGCCAGTGGTACTAATGTTTAAAGACAAATTTCCAGGCAGAACATTTTAACCATGACTGTGTTATAGTCACAGTTATTCCAGTCTGTTCTGTGTTAGACTGGAAGCTGATAAAATAGTTTAATATCAGAAGGTATCTTGACAAGTGTTTTTCAATGGCTTTGTGAAAGAAGAGATTGTATTACAGACTCTGTAACGCAGGGGGGAGTGTGGGGGTGGGGAAGATCAGGTTGGCTGTTTAGTAATATTACATGCTTTAAGTCTTCTAATTTTCCTCCTAACAGGGCAGAATAAGTTGCACGGGCAGGCTGATGGTGCAAGCTGTTAATCAAAGAGGCCGCAGTCCTTGGTCACCTTCTGGTCAGCCTCATATAAGAAGGTACTTGATGCTTTTTTTTTTCTTTTTTTCTTTGAATAATATGTGTTTTGCAAAATTATTATGGTAAGATAAAGAATGTGAAGTAAGATGCTAAGTTAAAAGTACAGCATTCAGGAAGAAATGTGACCTCTGCTGTCTAAAAATTTCTGCAAAGCTTGCATATTCAGCAGTACAAGCAACCTGTGAAATGACATGTCTTTTAAGTATCTTTAGTGTTGCCTGTCTCCTCCTTTTTGTGATGTTCACTCATTACTCCTGATCTCAAATTACACTGTTGGCTGTTGGGAAGGCCCTTGGCACTTATGTTTTTTTAAAACATCTCACCTGACTAGGATTCTACCAGGAACGTGTACTTTCTGCAGCTTTTAGTAAGTAT